CATAATTTGCTAGCTTTTCATGTTTTCTCAGACAAAAGATTCTGGCCATTTTGTATCAGACAGACCTCCACATTTCTATGACTGAGGAAGAGGGTCTTAGGAAAGGAGTGATGCATCCTTCCTTACCACAGACCATGTATAACAAGAAAAAATCAATCCCCAGAACTTCAGCCCTTATCTGCAGGGGTGGCAGCTGTAGAGAAAGGTGTAGCTACTCTCATTTTAGAAGGTGCAGCCACACTTATGATGTAGCTGCCAGTGTGCCGCTGGTGCTAACAAGAAGACTGCAATGTGGTGGTAATAGTTCATGTCTGGTTATGGCCAACAGCTGCCCTAATCAACAAGCATGTCAGCTGATACATATAGATATAGATATATAAAAAGTTATTTAAGCCAATTAGGTCCAGTGGAAGTCAAGAGTGACTTAATCCTGAAGCTTGTTGTTGAGACAAGCTCCACTGAGTAACTGCACTCACCAGCTGGAGACTGAGCAGGACCTGGGTGTGTGATTGCTGTCAGTGACTTACTGACTGTACTGCCTGAGCTCACATTAGAGGGAAAAGAAAGACATAGTGCACTCTGAGGGAACTCTGTCACTATTTACTTCCCCTTCTTATTAGACTTCCCACTGGCAGCATTGATGCAGCAGAGGACAGCCGAATGGACACCCTGATACTGGGTGGCTGCCTAGAATCTAAGAAAATGTCACATTTATAGTGAAGGAGGTTCAAGTGAGTGGTGTAAAACCTACAGAAGCCCTTAAGCCCACAACGAAACAAATGGAAGGAGCAAGTGAGAGTCAGAGCCAATAGGACCAAGGACCACGTACAAAAAATTTCCGTTCCACAAACATGTTTCTTTCTGTGGTTTAAGAACATAAAGACAGGAACGAATGAAAAATGCCATGAAAACTTAACATCTGTCTTTCTTGATTAACTTATAATGCCTTAATTAGTTTTTGGACAGTAAACCCACAGAAAATGTTTTCTCTTTTCAAGACACAAACCACTTTGATGAGGATTTGCAGAAATTCTTATTTGTAATGTGCATATTTTAATTCAAGGTTTAGTAGGAAGAATAATATAAGTATCTTTATCAAGGCAAGTAGTTCAGGCCAGAGTAATGCTTAATCCTAACATCAAATGTTGTCAAGAAAAGTCTTTAGAAAAACAAGTTTATGTTTGTCCTTTTTCATGGAGAGTTTTCCTAAAGCTATGCATTGGCAGTGTCAGTGATAAGAGAGGATAATACTTTATGGCACATAAAAAACTTTGATTCAGCAATGCCCTTGCAGCCAGAGACATTTATTTCTGTGGGACTTCTACAGAACTCAGCATATTGAGTTGTACTAGTAGCAAAGACAGTACACAGCCTTCACCCTCTCCTTTCTACCATAAGGAACCACTGCCATTAAGGAGACAACTTATGCACCCTGAACACTAAGATGAAAAGTGGCATAGCACCTCCAAGTGAAATGTATAGAGAGAAAAGGCTAGCAAATGTAGATGCTACAGGTGCTAGGATAAAACAGGAATTAATGCAAGCACTGTGACATTAGAACTGAACTAAAAATTACACATTGAGGCGGCATCAAGCCACTCTCAATATTCACCTATTTCTCCTTCAAATTTAATTAGGAGGAATTTCTAAAGAAAATAGATCCCACTAGGCCACTTTCTTGAAACATATAATGCTGTCTTAAAAAATCAACTAAATGGGAAATTTAGGCTATTTGGTTATAACTTTTTTCTACTTTAAAATTCAGGCAAGCAGAAAATAATGCTCTACAACTGATTCCTATTTAAAGGAAATATATCCATTTCCAAAATCTTCATATTTTCAGGATGACAAAACCAAAGTGCATCAAGCTATTTCAAGGTACACATCTTGCAGCATTAGCTGCAGTGCTGATAGAAAAAGCCTCTTAGTAAAGGCAGATTCAGACCCTGGGGAGAGTTCCATAAAACTGCTGAGTCAAAGCATGTTTGATTTGCTCTTTTTGCTAGCAGACAGACTTTCAGCACAAATTCACTCTCTCTGAATTCTTGGCTACATATTACACATATAGGTGCTAATAGAAAAAATTATGGATACCGATTTTTTTTTAATATAAAATCTTAATAGTAGAATTGCATAGAGAATTTTTCACAGTTGAATAGATACATGCTAACTTAGATATGGTTTCTAGAGGTGCAACTATTATTTATCTATATCTGTAGTTAAAAAGGAGTAATGTCAGTCATATTTTCAGGCTGCAAAAAAATTATTTTAATATAAAAAATAAACCAAACACACATATTAAACCAAAGCCATTTATCCAAACCTAAAATGTACCTTTAGATTCATTGTCCTGACTGCAGTGCCATTTCTAGATCAAGCCTTGAAGCTGATGTGATGTGATTTGAAGTTGGACTTGATCTGTTGTCCATGCATATGAAAAGGCACCACTGCTTAGAGAGGCACATTTATCACAGAGAAAAGCACTTTCAGCCCCAAAAGGACTTAAAAGCCCCTGCTTTCTCTGCCTGTAACTTTCAGAAAAACATAGATACCTGCACATGGCCACGCTTGCTTTTCTGCAGCATTGGTAAGTGCCAGTTTTCTTTAATTTTTCTCACATTCAGAAGCAAGCTGTGCAATTACTATAAAAATTGAAGCCAGGGCTGATCAAAATTAATTATGAACTGTGAGATGGGAGTAATGAAAAAAAGGAAGAACAGCAGAACAGCAACTGAGCTTATGACATTAAAAATACAAATAACAGGCAAATCTATGTCTCATCCTGACAAGTGAGGCACTCAGCATATCTGTCATTCCTTTCATCATGCAGATTACTTCTCAGTAGCTCTCGACACATAATACTGCAATCCTTTCTTTCTACCAAATTTCTGCAAGAGCTGTCAACTCTTTATAAAACTTCTAGATAAAACTGGTTGGAAAATCATATTTCATAATTAATCTATTTAAGAACTCCATAGCTTTAAAATATTTTCTTGTCTTATTTTACAGTGACTTTTTTCTTTTTAATTAGCATGAAGCCTAGTTACTTTTTACCAGGAGAGAAAAAGTGCCAAACATAACAGATCTAGGAGAGTGGAAAACAAACAGGTGGGAAAATTAATAATAAGTATTCATATTTACATTTGCTATGAAAGGAGTCTTTGTGTTAGAGGAAGAGAGATAATACATGGTATGCCATCTGGTTTGCCTGGAGATGGGACAATGAAATTTTCAGAACACAGCTGGTCCCAGACAAGACATTATCAACCCAGTGCTAGAATAGAATCAGCCAATGGACAATGAAAAATAGGACAAAGCAAGAAGGTGCTTCATCTGGCAGGGCCAGAAAGCAGTGCCACTGGCAGTCACATCTGCAGGTTCAGATGGGAGATTGGTGTTCTCCTTGATTTCATGTTTTTGTTAAGCTTTTGCAGCAGGATCTATGAATTAACACTTTTAGCCACCTCCTGCTAGGAGGTGTCTTATGCTGTTGAACAGAGCTGTAGTCACAAATGTGTAATAGCAAGTACTTATACCATGTTTCCAGCTTGAAAAGCATGGGGAAAACATCCCTTTGTCATAACTCAGGGAGAGCAAAGGTTCCTTCCTCTTGAAGTATCAAACAGAGACTCCACTCAGATACAGTCAATTGTCTAAAGATAATTACTCAATCTATACTACTCATGCAAGCTTATAGATTCTCTCAAAAATGGAAGGAGTTGCTCACACATATGCCTCTGTAGAGGCATACAGATAACTTGATGAAGAAATGATGGGACACAGTCCGGAGTTGGCCCTTTCCTCTGGAGGGCTGTAAATGACTACATCCCTGGTGCTTACATGGGAAGTGTTAGTCAACCCAAGGTCCCATTTCACTGCAGCAGAGTCAAGCTAAGGTTTTCAGTTATTATTTTCAGAGTGATAAATGACCAATCTCATCTTATACAGACCAAGAAAAATACTAGGTGTGGAGAGGGAAAGTGTTCCATGGGTTTGGTGACACCTTCTACCACAATGGTAATTAGAAGAGTATGAAAGAGAGAAAATTATTTTTCTTGGATGGCTTAATGCTGGGCAATAATTTCTGTTAAAAACAGGCATCACAGCATCATTACATTTTAAGTTTGAATTCTGAGCTTGTCTGTCCTGAAAGAAGTACACACTAGAACATATCTTAAAATAAATTTTAAAAAGCCAAATAAACATACTGAACAAACCACACAAACTCAAAACAAAATCCTCTTTCAAACTCAGTTGTCTTGTGGGAACTATATGCAAGCCAGCATGTGGAGCAGACATGACAAATGTTATTCATATCACTCAGAAAACTGCTGAGAGGGTTTTGGATATTAAAATAATTCATAAAGGAAAAAAAAAATCACTGAAGGAAACTCTGGCTTTCCTTTTATGTTAGCTTTACTTAAAAAAGATTTTAAATTTCCTGGATGCTGACTGACTCATGTGATTAAAAGGATATCTCCACTTTCATGGAGACATCTGTACATTCACATAACACCAGGTAATACAAATTCCATCCACTCTAGGGATTCTGCTATTCTGATAAAGTTCACTCACTTCAACACTTAAGATTAACAGGATGGACAGAGCAATGTATATGTAGCTACAGATAAAAAAATTAAATTCAAAAATTATGCTCAAACATGGTATCTCATTTTATTCCATGAAGTATGGAAACACTTTCTGGTATCTCAGCAGTTAATCTCCATATTAGCATATTTCTGGTTTTAGTAGTATCAATATTGGACATGAACTGAAATTAGAGAAAACACAATGGTTACAATTAATTATATGCAAAACATTTTAAAATATTTATTGTCTTTCCTGATTGATAAAAACCCCACCACCATATATTCAGGTATAGGAATGCTTGAGCATTTAACTGGAAGTCTTCCAAAACAATTTACACTATCACAGCAGATAAGTGATAACATACATACTCTCTGAGTATTTATTTAATATAAATTCCAATTTTTACTTACCAATCCTGCACAGCATTGAAAGAGTCTTCATTTGTGATGTCATACATTAAAATGAAGCCCATTGCACCCCGGTAGTAAGCTGTGGTAATTGTTCTGTACCTCTCCTGGCCTGCTGTGTCCTGAAACAATAACAAACAAAATTTTTACATTGCACATAAATTGACAACTTTTTTTTTTCTTTTATAGAAAAGCAAGAGTTATTGTACAGCTCTGTAATCCTGAGAATAAGTAGAAATAGGAGAACTCTGCACTGGATCATAACAGGAGGGACATATCAACTCTGTTATGAAGGTAGAGTGTAGAGCAGCAGAAAGGCATGGACCCCTGTCAGCCCAAATATTCTGAATCATTAGTGGTTCATTTTATTCACCCTGAGAGCTGGGTAAGAACTTTCTCTTCTGATCCTGCCTTGTACCTTTCCAGTGTGACAAAAGTAAAATCTCGATAAAATGCTGGAACAAAATAGCATCCTTAGGACCTTCATTACAGAAAGGGATGGTTCCCGAAGCCAGGAAATATCTGGAACAAAAAGGCAATTGCTAATTGCTCTGTTCTTGTAATTTTATTCCACAGGTGCTCATGTCAGTGAGCACCAACAAGCTTTTTGCTGACCAAAAAAATAAAAAAGAAAAAAGACTGTATGGCAGTGCTCTTAAAACAAGGATGATATCTGGCAAAAAAAAAAAAAAAATTGCTATCAGTCCCTTACCTCAACCCAGTTTTCTCCCTCATCTTAATCAACTGTCTTTAAAGCAAGAAATGTGTAAATATAAGTCTTGTCTCCTACTCCTTGCTTTCCTTATTTCCATTAAAAACTTTTCAGGGTAGCAACTAGCTTTTAATATATTTAATGCAATATCCAGAATAGTGTTTAGTCTAGAGAAAAAAAGGCTGGCAGCAGGTCTCATTAATGCTTTTATTAATATAATATAAATATTTCAAGACAGGTGGCAAGAAGATGGTACCAAACTCGTTTCAGTGGTGCCCAGTGACAGGACAAGGAACAATGGCCATAAATAAACTAAGCATGAAAAGTTTCACCTCAGCTTGATGAAGAACTTCTTTACATTGAGGGTGGCACTGGGGCAGGCTGCCCAGGGTGGTTTTGGAGGCTCCCTCCCTCAGGAGATGCTCAACCCCCACCTGGATGTCTTCCTGTGTCACCTGCTCTGGGGGACCCCACACTGGCCCAGGGGTTGCACAGAATGATCTCCAGGGGTCTTTCCCAACCCTAAGTATTCTCTGCTTCTGTAACACAACCACCTATGTCTGCACTAAAATTTAGACATAACAGCAATAATTGAAATACAGGAAATACATAACTATTTCATGTTCCAACCTATCTATTTAATATTTTAAGCCATTAATATTAATAGCACTACAGGAAACATATTTCAGTGCAATCCTGTAATTAAGAGATCATCTGTGCACATTCAATTTTAACAAACTGTGAAAATTAATATAATTATTTCCAATGTTCTTTCAATAGCTAGAAAATTAAACAGATAAATCCATTTAATTTGTCTTTCTACAAAGAAGACTAACCAGTAACAAACATATTTGGTATGTTTTCTGAAACAGTTTCCAGTCTAGAAGTACTTCCTTGTGAACAAAAGAAAAATAGGTTAGGTAGGCCTCCATTTCTGCATATATATAATCTATTTCATAAACTAATAAAATAATAAAAGGAGATTCCACATGCAACAGAAAAGACTTTTAGATTTTAAAAAAAAAACCCGAGGTCATAACTGAAACTAACAACATTAGGTAGAATATATGATTCCTGTTCATCCTGGAATACAGTAAGTGCTGCTTTGATGCAGTTTTCAGTGATTCAAGATGGAAAGCTAAAGTAGTAGTTAGACTTCAGCAGGTCTCACATGAAGTTTGGTTACATCTCTGTGGGAAAGGCCAGACAGATCTAAACTGTTTCTGTTTATGCTCTGAACAGCCTGAGCCTCTAACAGCTGTGGTATGGAGCTTGGATAGCTGCTCCCAGATGTTCTGGTGTCCCTGAATATAAACATGTGCACTAAACCTGTGCATATTTCATTTATGAAAAAAGTGGGATTTTTCCACTTTTTTTTTTTGTTTGTTGTTTTGGTTTGTGGGGTTTTTTGTAGTTGTTGGTTTCATTTATTTGATTTTTTTTTGATTAGAGAAAACATCTGGGATGCACAGACACAAAATATGGCCCACAGCAAGCATTCAGCCTGTGCAGGAGAGGATTTTCAAATTTATCTGTGTCTATTTGCTTGTTTTTTAGTTAGAGACATGTTTGATTAGAATGTATGATAGTGTGAAAAGCAGGAGGCCACTCTTACTGAAGACAGTTTTATTTTGCTCTGGGTAGTTTCCACTGAAGCCCACCTGCAGATAAGAGTGAAAAGTCCTAGCAATAAAGTCATTAGTCAATGATGCTTTCTGTCCCAGACACCAACTATTTTCTGTTCAGTGTAAAGCCACGTAGGGTGGGCTTCAGAACTCTTGATTATAAAAATAAATAAGGAAAATTAAAAATTAGTTTAAAGGATACCAAACCAAGATGATAAAATCCTTAAATGATTTTACACAAAGGGGCAGGAAGCTGCAGATGAAGATCCAAACACATACTGACTTTGGGACAGAAGATCTTTGTCTAGACTCAGGTTTGTCAGTCTGGGAAGGAACTAGGTATTTGGAGTTGTTCTCAAATTCTAATTCATAATTCTAAATTCATAGCTAATGCTAAGTTAATAGGATGATATAAAAAGATTTTCTAAAGTTATATTTCAGTATACATGACATAGATGGATGACCATTAATAAAGGGGAGTATATGATTTCCAAATACAGATAATCACATTCTTCTTTGTATTATATTATATTCACTTCCTATGGAGAAGCAATTAAAATTTTAATAGACCAAATGAGAAATTTATGCAGTAAAGTTTTTAGGGCCATGCAAGAAATGAACTCAAATATAAATAACCAATGTGTCACAACTTTCATGTCCCACACATTCATAAGCATGTTCTTTGTATTCAGACAAGAATATCTTCATAACTGCCCTAAGGATAGGTCCTTTCATATGATCATCAAGGAACTTAAATACCATTTGACAGGAGAGATAGTATAGTAGAAAAATAATAAACTTTCACATTAAATATTATATTTTACTACACTAATTTTGTTTATTTCAAACAGATAATATTATGTACATCTGTTTATTAGCTTTTATTCTTATGGAAGAACTAAGCAGAAAAGAATTGATTTCCCAATTTTATCGTATTTCTAGTTATACATCACAATGATTGTATCCTCAGATACTGTTATATACTTGTACTTGAAGAAAACCTTTTCCAATTCAGGTATGGTCACTGTCTGCTGCTATGTTTTCTTAGTCTATTTGGCAAGACCATAGAATTGGTCTAAGATGTCTGTCTTCTTAGATTTAAATTCTAAAATACAGCATCTGTACTTCCACTGACTGATGTTTATTTCTAAGCAAATGAAATAAAATAAGCCCGAGGAAGAATATTATTGACTGGCATTTTAAACAAGGCAGTTCATTTTTATCTTTGATGAGCTGAAAACAAGACACATATATCATGTTGGTGTCTTCTTCATTCATGTGGTTAATGTTTGGTAAGAACAGATGATTGTTCATTAAATGAGCGGAAATGCAGAGAGGCATGAATGAGGGTGAGGGAATGCTTTATGAAAACTACCACACACAAATGACAAAAAAAAGTATTTTAGAAATCTTAGACAAAACACACACACACAGAGAAAACTCAGCAGCTACAATAAATATTTTCAAATATTACATTCACTTTCATAAATTCAATTTTAATTCAGCTACACTATTCCATTCACTTCTGGTTAGCTGATCCTATCTTTGTGGATCTTTTTAGTAAGCATCAGATTTTAATTAATAAATCACATTATTATAAGGTTTAGTGGTCACAGTACTTCAGAAATTGTCCATACAATTGTGCATTGAAATAGCACATTAGCTAATAGCCCACAGTCTTGATTATTTGGAAGACTCTGATACTTGCACAGATTTCCTTTTCATGTTTTGATGCCTATAGTATGCTTTGTTGGACTTCTTTTCTTAATTGATTTTTTTAGTGTATAATAGAAATTAGTCATCTGCAAATATTTTTGTGCTCCAGATCCCAATATATATGATTTCATATTTAAAAAATTCATTGTTTTTTGCGAGTGATTCAATAGCTAAAAGGACCAGTAAAAGTCTTGAACAGGGCACATACATCTGTAGAAGGGAAAGAAGAACAGTAGAGGTATAGATTGAATGTCAAATATGTGGTTCTGCCTCTTAATGAAGATACCAATTTGGTACGCTTTTGGCCAACTCTCCTTTCATTCTTCCTGATCATATATGTATCAAATGATAGGCAGAAAAATAATTCCATATTACCTTAGCTCTTCATTTGAGTTAAACTGAAAGCTGTGGAATTTGACATACAATGAAACAAAAAGCAAAGATCTGATGTTTATACAGTAACTACATGAATCAGTGTTTGTCCTGTGCTCCTCTCTTTAATCATGCCATGATTCTGATTGTTTCCGTGGAACTGCTATATAATTGGAGGCTTTATTGTATGGGGAATGCACCAGCTGCTGACAATGTTCCCAGAGGAATGGAGAGATATCATGTAATAGCCATCTGTGAAAGTAGAAACACTTGAGGAGAGGAAGCTGGCTGACTCAAGAGGAAATCATATGTTTCACATGAAGTTAAGAGTTCAGGGGGCTGGAAAATCTCAAAATACAAACTAAGGTTCTGATAGTAATCCTGGATATTGTATATCCTACTTGCAAAGTACGGTTATCTAACTCAACAGAAGTAAACCCCTCCTACTGTCAAGTGCTGCTAAGCTAGATTTCATCAAGAATGTTCCATACCAGCTTAGACTACACCAGTGTTTTTGCAATGGGTTAAATCAGGCACTTGAATTCATCTGCTGTGTGCCCTCCCTCTCACCCTCACCTAGCACTGCACCACTGACAGGAACAATACTTTATGCAAATAACTTGCAAGGGGAGTTGCTCATTATTAACATTGGCTGTTCTGAAGGTGGAAACAAACAGCATTTGGCAGCAGGAACTTT